CCTACTTCACTTTCCCAGAAATAGCGAATATCAAGGTTATTAATGATCTATTACCACCTCGGCTGGTGGTAGGCTGAGTCGTATAACCCGTGAAATTGATCAGATTACCCCGCAATGGGTCATAAAAAGGAGCTGGGTTTGCTGAAGCTGCATTTCCCGTTTGAAAATGCCAGTGTCGTCTATTTGAGTTGATTTTAAGGGGCTCTCGCGTAAGGGGGAGGATACGAAATTAAAGACATCAAAAAAAGCTCTAATGTGAGGAATGGGGTTTGTTTGCATGCGGAGAAAACAGAAGGGATGAAATCGCACGGCGTATTATTGATTTATCCCGAATGTATTTTCGGACAGCTGTGTCTCTAGATAGCAATGCCATGGTGTGAATTGATAGTTAATTAATCAGCGGATGTAATGCTTTCAAATAAGTATGAAATCTCCACGCTATCTTCAAATAATGACACGACAGAAATATAAATAACGGATCATTTCAGTATGAACGGTATGACACATTGTCTTAATTGCGTACTTACTCGTTATTGACATAATGTTACTGCTCCTGTGATTTGCTGTGAAAAAAAATCCAGATTTGTTACAAACTGTCGTAGGTATCGTTTGATTTTGCCGACAAATAGCAATGCAGTTGCGCGTGAATGTTGATTCTCATTTTAATAATACCCTTTCAATTTTTTTCGTATAATTCCAGCAACGGAAACCTAATCAAGATGTTGGCCTACTTGATAATGTCGAAGCACGGACGCTCAATAGGCATCGCTTTCTTTTTGTGGACAAGTGACAGAGTGCTAATGTACCTGGTCTGCTGTTTAACGTGGGTCTGAAACCGCAACCTAATAGTGCATAGGAAGGCAGAGGCATGTTTACGTTTTTTATTGATCATTCTAAGAAGAACGCCTCACACGGAGTTTCAGGCGCATTTACGCCTCCTCCAAAGTTCTAAGAATTAGTCTCGTTTAGAATTGGCGATCTTTTGTGAGAAAAGCTCAACTTATTGTTCTTGAAAAATTAGGCAAAAAAGCAGCATCCATTACTCAGAAAATACTTTGCTGTGAAGTTTCATGTTATAACGGTTTTAAATCATAATACCGAGAATCATTCTTCTGTGTACCCTTAGATCAACCTATAATTACTTAAATAATTACATAAATTATTTCTTCTGTAAATCTTTTTCTTTTTAAATATATATTTTGTTGATATCTGTATATAGCGAAACACGGTATAAAATGAAATTGTAGAAAGCTACACAGGTTTGTTAGAAGAGTACGCCGTGTTAGCACTGTACACTCGGAAGTCGTACATAACCGCCTATAGTGTTACGGCCAATGCAATTCTTTCTGGTATCTTTAATTCTGTTTACACATCACGAAAAACTTGCAACAAGGAATCGTTCAGGTTTGAAATTTTTGTCTATATGTACATAATAACTGGTTTCGTATATACTCTTAAAACTATATACTTAGTTTAACAGAGGTTTACATTGTTAGTATAATTCTGACAAAATTAAATAAAAATAAATACTGTTTCATGCTCAAATTTATAGCAAGCACACATCGTCTAACCCAGATACCCCCTCCGCTTTCATATCACACGTTGTCTCTCTATCAAGATAATAATCGTGCTTTTTAAGCGATGGAAGTGAAGCTGCTGTGTCGAGTTTGGAACTTGGCTTTGGGCCGTGTCCGGCGTTTAACCCCGGGAAGACGCCCCGCGGCTGTTTTTACAGCTTTACCTGAGACATTACATCTAAACTGCAAAATCAAAACCCATCGTGAGTCACTTAATCCATACACCGTCAACGTAATTAGATGGTTTTAACGGGTTGCTTCCATTCGTCTGTCATAATGTAGCGCTGAACTTCGTGACACTATTATTATTATTATTATTATTATTATTAATAATAATAATAATAATAATAATAGTGCAGTACGCTCTTTAAATATCAAAGGACATAAACAGAGAAAGAATACAACAGTTGAAATTCTCAGAGAACGCAATGCAAATGAAACTTCCGCATAAAACAATACATTAAGCAATGTAAAAATTACATTTAAAAAATATGTTAAGTAAATACATAAAACTCAAAATTGTTTATACACACACCTAAAAGTTCTTCATTATGGGACAATGTTTCAAATTGCGAAGAGCCATGCACACCGATGACGAAATAAACGCGGACAATTACACGTTATCAACAACACATCTACACACTGGTAATAAAATAAACCATGTGTCTCCGATTCGCACCCGCAGTGAAATGTTTCCTGATTTTAATCAGGCTTCTCCCCTAGTCATTCAAAAATGATGTCTCTTCGTTCATCTAGGCCTACCTATGGAGTGTTGTACCAACGTTTATGAGTCAGATAAACGAACGAGCTTTTTCTGAAGTGCAACGTCCCTTGCCTACGCTGTCGAAACATCACAATTTATTTATTTATATTATTTTGGCCATTCTTTTTATGTCACCATCTAGAAGGTATTGATTCCTGTGTAGCATTGATATAGCATCTTATTTGAAAATGTGATGTGTGTCTAGTTTTTGTATGCTTGCAATTTGCACTTGCAATACAACGCCTTGCGGCTACCATCCATTTTCGTCTATTGTTGTGAGAATAGGAGGGATTATAAATGATAACGTTTAAGGTTTTTACACCGAATAAACTCACGCTCCACTATACTGACGTTGCGACTTGGGAATCGGGACGTTGGAGCAGGTTCCATGTTGTAAGCTGCAAGACACTTGTCCAAAAAAAAACCATAATCAGGCTTTTACATTTACCGTCATATGTTGCCTCGGAGCACCTTTAATGCATATTTGCGGGATAATAGGACACAATACTTTCAAGAGGATAATTACAGGAGTCCGCTGACAGCCCGACAATGACTACGAAATTGTTCAGTACGAGCAGGTACAACTGTTTCTATTCAAGTTCAATCTCAGGTTCGCTGCTGTCTGGGCATTTTGGCGAGAAAGCAGAAAACATGACGTTAAAGTCACTTAGGACAGAATAAATATCCATGGTTTATGCATTTTCGCGCAAATTTATTTGGTAGATAAAGTGAATCTATACACTATGCCCGGAATGCCGTAGTACATCTATCTTCCTCTATCACCAAGCACATTTCATATTTTCAATTCATAGAATACATTGTCCGATTTCTAAAATAATTCGTTAATTACGCGTGTTAAAAATATCTGTTAAATATTAAATTCATTCTTATTCAGTGTCTCTCTAGATACAGTGAATGCGAAATGGTTAGATTTTGTTGACTAATGTTGTTCCAAGTCTTAGTTTCTAAACGGGTTGAGTTGTGAGTTTCGTTTTAAATATTTAGCTTCTCTTTTTAACTTTAATCAGTTCAATACATTTCAGCGTTAATTCGGTTCGTGCTGTTTAACGTTATCTGCAAGTTGTTATATTTTACGTGTCCAGGTGCATTCTCAGAGTTGCCGGGGAGATGCACAGCAGAATATGGGAATATAAACTATATTAGTGTATTTTTGAAGTACATTATTGCTGACTGTTGTGCCAGGATAGACAGTATCGTCTTCAGCAATCGCTTTTTTGATGCTTTTCATTGATAACGATTCCATTGCGTAACGACCGTAAAGGCCATCTAATGCAAACGTCTCTTAAAAAAAACTTCCAGTTCAAGCC